CTCCGCTCTTCTCTCTCTGACATGGCCCCAGTGCAGCTGGGGGTGGGAACAAACGGAAGGGGTGAAAAGCCGCCAGCATCTCCAAGATCCCTAAAGCACAGGTAAGTAAGACCCTTCCAACAGCGCCTGGCCTCTCGCTCCACAATGCACAAACAGGGAGCTAGAGGCTCAGCAAAGCCCACGACCAACACGACCCCCAGGCATGCTCCCAGGCTCCATCAAAGATTCATCCTTCATCTCTAAAACCAATGGTCATCCCAAGTAGCCCCATCACTCTCCTCCTCCTCTCAGTGTTCCCCACGGCCTTCAGAAAGAGGAGCAAAACGGCCCATGCTGGAAAGGCTATGGATGCGTCGTCCATCAGCAAAACCTCCCCCTGCTTCTTCCCGTGTCTGTGGCCACCTTTCATTTCTTTACTTCAAGACCTCAATCCATTCTGCTGCTTCTGCTCGACACTCCTCCTCCTTTGTTGTTTTCCTGCCAAATTTCTTTCACTCAGTGATCAGTCACCTACCCCCTTCAGACCACTGTTCAAATGTCACTTGCTAAGGAAGTTCTTTCCAGACTGTGTAAATAAATGTCCTCATCATTTGTCTTTAAAGCAGTTCTGAGGCAGGAACATGGATAGTTCAAAGCCCACCTGGACTATGAAGTGAGTTCAAGGCTACCCGTAACAACTAAGACTATCTCAAAATAAAATGTAAAAAGAAAGTTGGAGCTGAAGTGATGGTGCACACCCTTAATCCCAGCATTCAGGAAGCAGAGGTAGGTAAATCTCCGAGTTTGAAGCCAGCCTGGTCCACAGAACAGATTCTAGGACAGCTAGGGTTACAGAGAAACCCTGTCTCAGAAAAAAAAAAGGAAAAGGAAAAAAAGAAAGACGGCTGAAGACACAATTCAGTGATAGAAAGCCTTCCTAGCATGTGTGAGCCTTAGGTTCAAACAGTCTGAAACTATACAGCTGCATAACTTTTGTGGTTTAAGTGCTTACAGAGTTCACACCAGAAGACAGCCTTGGGTGACATTCCTCCTGAGGAGCTGGCCATTTTGTTTTTTCAGACAGGGTCTCTCACCGGAACCCAAGGTCCACAGATTAGTTTAGGCTGGCTGGTCAGCAGGCTCCAGGAGCCCACCTATCTTGGCAAGCTCATTACACACGGATTTTCACCATCATTCCCACTCTTTTTAAAGAGACACTGGGGGCCAGCGTGTGGTCCCCAGCAGACAGTAAGCTGCACACCAGCAAAGATCCTGGTCTGTATGCTCACCTTTGCATCCCAAGAGACCAGCTGTGTCAGCACACACTATGCCTTCATTAACACTTGCTGAAAAAAGAAAGAACAGTTATTCATTTGTGTTGGAGACAAAGTCTCTCTCTAGAGCCCTGGAAATCTCTCCATAGATCAGGCTAGCCTCAAACTTCCTGCTTCTGCCTCCCCAGAGCTGGGATTAAATATGTACACCACTACTCCTGGCCTAGAACAGCTATTTTCCTGTATTTTTTAACTTACTTTTATGTGCACTGGTGTTTTGTCTGCATGTGTGTCTGTGTAAAGGTGACCGATCCCATTCAACTGGAGTCACAGACAGTTGTGAGCTGCCATGCGGGTGTTGGGAATTGAACCTGGGTCCTTTGGAAGAACAGCCAGTGCTCTTAAGTGCTGAGCCATCTCTTCAGCTCAGCTATTTTTCTTTTTATCACATTAGTTTTCAAAAATATGTCTTACTGGCCAGGCAGTGGTGGCACACGCCTTTAATCTCAGCACTCAGGAGGCAGAGGCAGGCAGATCTCTGTGAGTTCTAGACTAGTCTGGTCTACCGAGGGAGTGCCAGGATAGGCTCTAAAGCTACCCAGATAAACAAAACAAAAACAAACAAAAAAAGTCTTATTTATTTTGTTTGTTTGGTTTTTTTGTTGTTATTGTTGTTTTTTTCCACCACTGTCTGGCTTGTTTGCTTTTTTAAAAGATTTATTTATTTTATGTATGAGTGCTCTATCTACATGTATGACTTTATGCCAGAAGAGCACAATCAGATCCCACTACAGATGGTTGTGAGCCACCATGTGGTTGCTGGGAATTGAACTCAGAACCTCTGGAAAAGCAGGCAGTGTTCTTAACCTGAGTCATCTCTCCAGCCCCCAGCTATTTTTCTAAGCGTCTATGACTTCCAAATGACCTCCTCCTATTCTCACTAACGAAACAGATAGTGTACGTTTTGTCTATTTCAAAAAGCCACGAGAGATAGCTCAGAGAGGTTACCTAAATTGCTCAAGACCAGCCAGCAAGCACTGAGTAATTAGATGTCAGGGATTCGAACCCTTGTTTTAAATTAACTCAGCTGCTGGGCAGTGGTGGCGCACGCCTTTAATCCCAGCACTCAGGGGAATCTCTGAGTCTGAGGCCAGCTTGGTCTACAAAGTGAGTGCCAGGATAGCCTCCAAAGCTACAGAGAAACCCTGTCTCAAAAAACAAAACAAAACAAAAAAAACTAACTGAGGATACCATATTTGAAATAGGCCTGGCTTTGTAGCACAAAGATGTGGATTAGACTCACCACTTGATGGGATAAGTACGCTTCAGTCTTCCCATCTGTAAAATGGGAGCACTCAGTCGTGCGCCAGGAGGGAGTTTCTCTATTATGTCCCCCTACTGAGACCTCAAAGCCCGGTCTGTGACCAGGGTCTCCCACTCCTCAGTCTCCTGTCCTGCACATCCTCACTTCCAAGCCCTTCTGACCAGGAGGCGTGAGAACCGACCTCCACGGGCCTCTGGGTTGCGCATCCTTCGACCCACCTTCCTTCATCCCAGATCCCGACGGCGTGGGGTGGAATGGGAGGTCAAGGGTCACGGAACTTGTGTCACGTGCCCGCGACGGGGGCGGGCCCGCGGCTGGTGAGCAGCGCACCGCGGGACGCGAAGCCCAGGGCCCGGCAGGGCCTGCTCACCTGCGGACTCCCGCGTCGCGAGGCCGCCAGCCGAGGAGGCGGCGGCGGCTTCCACTCACCGGCTCACGCCAATTCCCTCTCTCGGAGCCCAGGCGCCACCCTCAATACGCGGAGCCAATCAGTGGCTGATTCTTGAGTTCCCCGCCCACCAGTAGCCGTCCCACCTCAGGATTGGTCAGTGTGAATGTGCGGCGAAGGCTCCAAGGCGTCGTTGGTCACGTGAGTAGCGCTTCTTAAAGCAACAGCTCCTGTTGGCTGGCTAGCAGGTGCGGTGCCCTGGTTTAACATGCTCTCCAGATGGACCTCGTTCCCTTGAGTCTGCTGTTCCAGAGTTTACAAGTTTTTCGGATCATAGTAAAGCTTTAGGCTTTTGCTACATGACTTTCCTCTTCAACCTAAGTCTCCTATAATGCCCCCAACAGCAACTGCTGTTTTCCCCTTCGCAGAATAGATGGGGTTCCCGTGCACTGAGGAAGCAGAGGCAGGAGGGTTTTTTGTTTTTTCGAGGCCAGCCTGGTCTACACAGTGAGTCTGAAGCCAGTTTGAGGGCGTGAGGGTGTGTGTGTGTGTGTGTGTGTGTGTGTAGCGGGGGAGGGGGGACGGTGTTGGTGTACATCGTGAGAAGCAAAAATCAGAAAGTACAGCTGGGAGAGATTACACACGCCTTTAATCCCAGCACTCGGGAGGGAGAGGTCTGTGAGTTCGAGGCCAGAATGGTCTACAGAGTGAATTTCAGAACAGTCAGGGAAGGAAGGAAGGAAGGAACGAGGGAAGGGAACAGAGGGGAGGGAAAGGAAAGGAAACTTCTGGCTGGGCCAAACACTTCAGATAGGCTCTGGGCTCTGCTCACCCAGCCCATTGTCCCCCGTCTCCTGACTGCTGCCCTACCCTATAGGGTTGTAGTTCAATACCAAAGGTACAACTCATACACCACACTAATGCCTTTTCCTAAACTCCTGTTGGGACAGTTCCTGTGTGTTCTCTCTTCAATTCCCCCACCCTTTGGGAAAAGATCTCACTATGCATTTCTTCCTGGCCAGGAACTCCTTATGTAGACCAGGCTGCCCTCCAACAATCCTTCTCGAAAGCCAAATGCAGGAAGTATAGGCCTGTTTCAGCATGCCTGGCTTGTTGACAAGTCTCAGTTGATAAACAGTGAACTTCACCCAGCATACAACCCCACTCTGAGTCAAAGAGGAAATGAGGGTGCTGAGGCAGGAGGATTACCAGTTTCAAGCCTGAGTAGGCTAAAGGAGGAGTTGGAGGTTAACCTGAACTACAGAGTGAGACGATTCTCAAAACGGGCAGTTGTTTATACATCTTCACTGCTAAACCAGCCCCATAACCATAATCCCCTCCACCCACACTCTCTTTTTTGAATACCAGTGAAACCTAAACATGCTTGCCCTGGCACTCAGATTGAGTGAAGCTATATATAATCTGCCTGGGGCGTATTTGCTCCCAACTGGAGTAGGGTAGGCAAGCGCTCAGGAAGGCAGCCATGAAACCCACATAACCACAGGAAAAGGGTGGCTGCTGTGGGTGCCATCTGGGAAGGATCACTGCTGAGCCATGCAGTCCTCAGAACAAAGCTACTTTGGCATTCAAGTGGGCCTGAGCTCAAGGTAAGGGCCCTGCTGCCTCTGAGAACCAGTTAGCCTTAACAAGCCCTGACTGTAAGCATTTCGACGGATCGGATGGGATGGACAGGGATGAATTATAGCACTTGGGAGCCAAAGAATACTGTTACAGTTTGGATGGAAAGATATTCTGGCACCTGGGAGTCACAGAATAGTGAGTGTTACAACTTGGATGGAAAATTCTGACACTCGGGAGCCAAGGAATACCACAAGTCACAGTAAGCATAGCAGCTCAGTCTTGCTTCAGGGATTTCCAGGGTGTGGATTGGTCAGATTTCAATCCCTGAGTTTAGGATGGCTAGATCTTCTACTCAGGGATTGATTAGTTTCCTACACAGGGTCAGGATATACAGTGGGTCAAGGCCAACATAGCTTATATGAGAACCCATCTCAAAAGCAAATAAATAGCAGAGTAATATTAAACTTTTATTCCTACCAAGAGAAGATAACATTTCCAAAAGAACCAAAGACCTTTTATGGTTAGAACTCAGTAAAAAGTCTGAGAACAGCTCAGTTAGAAAAAGTACCCGCAGTCTTCTGGGGACAAGGGACCTTCCTTGCCTCCCTAACAGTGTCCAGACTGATACCCTAGACAAGGTACCAAGCAGGAAAGTCACATTCTATAAATCAGGACCAAAAGGCAAGAGGCTCCTTACTCAGCTCACGAGACCTATGAAATCAGGAAAGGCAAATCAGTTAGACACCGAGGGCTCCAGCAGACAAAACCATAGATTTCCCACCCCCAAGGACATGTCTTAGACTTCCAAGAGAATAGGATGAGAGCTTCTTTTGTCTCTAACTGGAACATTAAATCCTACAGACACCACTTCTTCAGGGAGTAGCCCCAGCACACACGTCAGACACTCACCCAAGTAATCGTCCATCAGAGAGCCAATGGCAAACTGTGGGAAGAACGGGCCAAAGGAAAGGTGAGGCCAAGGCAAGCATGGTTTCATCTCCCACCCACCCCATTCCAAGTCTTCTGTCTGTCATCCCCTCCTCATGGAAAAATAGCACGGAAACCCCACACAACTCTGGATTGTAAGAAATAAACAGTTCTTGGGCCAGGGAAATGGCTCAGATGGTAAAGGAGCTTGCTGCATGGGCCTGGTGACCTGAGTTCTGTCCCCAGAGCATACAGCAGCAGGAGAGAACCTGAAGGCTGACTGAGTGTCACACTACGGTGAGTGTGTGTGCATCCACAAGAAATAATAAAACTTTTTGTTTGTTTGCTTTTTGTTTTTCAATACAGGGTTTCTGTTTAGTTTTGTAGGCTGTCCTGGAACTCACTCTGTAGACCAGGCTGGCCTCGAACTCACAGAGATCTACCTGCCTCTGCCTCCCGAGTACTGGAATTAAAGGTGTGCTCCACCACTGCCCAGGTTAACAGAATGATCTTGCCAGGCAAGAAATAATAAAACTTTTTAAAAATACTAAAATAGGCCAGGCATTGGTGGCCAGTCTGGGCTATAACATCAAGATCCTGTCTCAAAATCCAAGCAAGCAAATAACAGCTCCAGGCCTGCCGAGCACAGGCCAGAAGTCAGGGAAGACACTTACGATGTCATTCTTGTCCACACGTGTCCCCACAATCTTCAAGCGGATCTCATCATCCTGCTGAATCACAATGTCCTGTGGGACGGAGAGAACGGTGCACTCAAGCATACGCAGGCCCAGTCTCAGCATGTCTTAACACTCTTCCCGCTCACTCACCTCATCCATTGTCTTGTAACAAGGTGGGTTGGAGTTTGGATCAAACTCCATCTCTGATGGGATGGACTAGAAGGAAAATAACGTAAGGATTAGCACTTCAACTGCTTTGTCAATAGATGATAGTCCTTGGCCCCACCCAGTAGGCCCAGACTTACATGTCTAGAAATGAAGCAAGACATGGGTCCAATTTCTGTGAAAAGTCCAACCTAGGAGGAAAATGATCACACTTCAAAGGCTTTCAGGGATTAATTTTCCCACCTTTATCTGATTTCTTTTTTTTTTTTTTTTTTTTTTCGGTTTTTCGAGACAGGGTTTCTCTGTATTGTTTTGGAGGCTGTCCTGGAGCTCACTCTGTAGACCAGCCCGGCCTCGAACTCACAGAGATCCGCCTGCCTCTGCCTCCCGAGTGCTGGGGTCAAAGGCGTGCGCCACCAACGCCCGGCTGACCTTTATCTGATTTCTAATCATATTACTCATGTTTCATAACAGTCTGAATTGTAGCATTTGTTTTGATTTCTCATTGTAACCTTTCATTTTTCTGGTTTTTTGAGATAAGGTTTCTCTGTGTAGTTTTGACTGTCCTGGAACTCACTCTGTAGACCACACTGGACTTGAACTCACAAAGATCCTCCCCAGGCCAGGCACTGGTGGTGCATGCCTTTAGTCCCAGCACTCAGGAGGCAGAGGCAGGTGGATCTTTGTGAGTTCAAAACCAGCCTGGTCTACAAGAGCTAATTCTAGGACAGCCTCCAAAGACACAGAGAAAACCCTGTCTAGAAAAAAAATCCTCCCCAGTACTGGGATTAAGTCTTTAGCTTTTTTTTTTTTTTTTTTTTTTTTTTTTGAGACAGGGTTCCTTTGTGTAACAGCTCTCGTTGTTCTGGAACTCATTCTGTAGATCAGGCTGGCCTTAAACTCACAGAGCTCTACCTGCCTGTCTCCCAAGTGCTGGGATTAAGGATGAGCACCACCACTTCCTGGCTTTTGTGGTTGTTTTTAATTAACTCTTATAACTTAAATTAACCTATTTCTATTAATCTACATTCTACCATGTGCTTTTTTACCTTCCTTTCATCCTATGTTGGACTCCCTCCATGTCTTGTTGGCATCTTGCTGGCAAAATTTGAATGCCTACATTCTTCTCTTCCTCTCTTCCCCAGAAATCCCAACTATCCTCTCCTCCCTGCCTACCCATTGGCCATTCAGCTTTTTTTTTTTTTTTAATGTATACAATCTTCTGCTTGCATGCCAGCAGAGGGCACCAGATCTCATTCAAGGTGGTTGTGAGCCACCATGTGGTTGCTGGGAATTGAACTCAGGACCCCTGGAAGAACAGTCAGTGTTCTTAACCTCTGAGCCATCTCTCCAGCCCCCTGTGATTAGAGTATTAAAAAGCTGAATGGTCGGGGCTGGAGAGATGGCTCAGAGGTTAAGAGCACTGACTGTTCTTCCAGGGGTCCTGAGTTCAATTCCTAGCAACCACATGGTGGCTCACAACCATCTACAATTCAGTCTGGTGCCCTCTTCTGGCCTGTAGGCAGAACAGTATATATGTAATAAATAAAAAAAAAAATCTTAAAAAAAAAACACCAATCAGAAATGTATCTTCATAGTATACAAATATCCCTGATCTTCACATTTTTATTGTTTTTCATTATTTTTATGTGTGTCAGTATTCTGCCTGCTTGCAGTGCCTATGAAGGGGAGAAGAGGGTTTTAGATCCTGTGGAACTGGAGTTATGGACAACTCTCAGCCAATGTGTGGGTGCTGGAAATCATACCCAGGTCTTCTAGAAAAGCACCCAGTGCTCTAAACCACTAAGCTATAATCATTAGCTTTTTAAAAACTGAATTTTTAAGTATAAGACAGGGAATCACTAACTTTCACTCATTTGTATTCACTTTATAGCCCAGGCAGGCCTTGAATTGTGATCCCTGTCTAAGTCTCCCAAGTAGGGAGGATTACAAGCTCATATTACTAAGCCTGAATTTTACAATGGTACTGGGAATCAAAACTCAGATCTTCATGCTTGCACAGGAAGCACTTTACATGCTGAGAATATCCCAGATTCTCATTTTGTTTGAGACAGAGTCTCATCTCTATCGCCAGGGCAGATTAAAACTTGCATCAATAGTACTTCAGCTTTCCACATGCTTAGATTACAGGCTTAAAACGCCATACCAGCTGGTGAGAACACTGGAGCAATGACTCAAGTGGTTAAGAGCACTCGTCCTTATTCCAAAGGACCCAGCTTTGATTCCCAGAACTCACCACTTAGGAGCTTTCAACCTTCTGTTCCATGAGATCCAACACGCTCTGGCCTTCACATGGTACACATGCACACATGCAAACAGAGTACTCATACACATTAAACACAAAAATGGGCATGGTGGGGGTTTGAGAGATGGCTCAGAGGTTAAGCGCATTGGCTGAGCTGTCAGAGGTACTGAATTCAATTTGTAGCAACTACATGGTAGTGTACAACCATCTGCAAAGAGATCTGGTGCCCTCTTCTGGCCTGCAGGCATATATGCAAGCAGAACACCATATACATAATAAGTTAATAAATCTTTTTTAAAAAATCTTTAAAAAGGGAGGGGGGCATGGTGACACAAGCCTTTAATTCCACCACTTGGGAGACAGAAGCAGGCAAAATTCTGTATGTTTGAGGCCAGCCTGATCCACAGTGTGTTCTGGACTAGCCAAGGCTAAATAGTGAGACCCTGTTTGAAAAAGCAAGAGAAAAGCCGGGCGTTGGTGGTGTACGCCTTTAATCCCAGCACTCAGGAGGCAGAGGCAGGCGGATCTCTGTGAGTTCGAGGCCAGCTTGGTCTACAAAGCGAGTTCCAGGACAGCCTCCAAAGCCACAGAAAAACCCTGTCTCGGAAAAAAGAAAAGAAAAGAAAAGAAAAAGCAAGAGAAAACAAGCAAATAAAAGTCTTAAGAGGGGCTGGAGAGATGGCTCAGAGGTTAAGAGCACTGATTACTCCCAAAGCCACAGAGAAACCCTGTCTCGAAAAACAAAAAACAAACAAAAAAGGCTTAAGCGTTGAGGATTTAGCAGGATGGTAGAGTACTTGCCTAGCAATAAGGCCCTGGGTTTAATCCTTATTTATGGGTACAAGGAAAGCAGAGAAAGAAAAAATTAGGGTAGGTTTTGCATATTATAAGTTCACAGTAACTAAATAAAGACTTCTATCATACTATGATTGTTGCTTTTAATTAACAAGACCCCAAGTTAGATGGGGACTATTACTTGACAGGTAAGGAATCTGAAGGGTCAAACAATGACCTGAGGGACTGAAGAAATGGCACAACTTCTAAAGGCTTGGCTCACAACCAAAACTATAACAATGCATACAGCTTTTGCAGAGGACCCAAATTCAGTTCTTAGCACCCATATATCTGGGGGCTCACAATTCAGCTGTAAGAGAACCTGAAACCCTCGCAGCCTCTGAAGGTACCAGCATTCATTGGCACATACTCACAGATAAAACACAAGTACAGATAATTAAAAATCAAACCAATCAGCCAGGTATGGTAGCTCACACTTTTAATGCAAGCACTCAGGAAGCAGAGGCAACGGATCTCTGAATTTTAGTCCAGCCTGGTCTACAGATAAGGAGTTCCAGGACAGCCATACAGAGCTATACAGAGAAACCCTGCCTCAATAAATAAGTAAGTAAAACTTAACAAAAGACTTAAGATGATTAGTAAGTAGAATAGGGACTGAACCCTGACCTTAGGAGTCATCCCAGCACCTTTCTTTGGGTGTTCTTACCTTGTTGACCTGAGTGACCACAGCATCCACCACCTCACCTTTAAAGGGCCGGAAAACAATAGCTTTGTACTTAACTGGATAAAGAACAAAACCTCGGCCTGGCTGGATTACACCAGCACCAATATTGTCGATGGTGGTGACAGCAATTACAAAGCCATACCTGCAAGAAAGATGAAACAACACAGGTATTGCATGCAAAGATCCTCCAAAAAGTCATCAGCAAGGACGGGACACAGGTCAACACATGTAAGGGCAAATGATGCTCTCCTAATTGTACAGTAAATGTCCAAGTAGGACCAGACATGTTGACATACACCGACTGTCTCAGCAATAAGAAGACTGAGGCAGGAGAATTGGTCCGGAGTTGCAGGCCAGCCTGAGACAACACGGTGAAAGCAGGTCTTTCAAAAAACTACAAACAGGGGTGGGCTGGAGAGATGGCTCAGTGGATAAGAGCACTGTCTGCTCTTCTAGAGGTCCTGAGTTCAATTCCCAGCAACCACATGGTGGCTCACAACCATCTATAATGAGATCTGGTGCTCTCTTCTGCCTGCAGCTGTACATGTAGGAAGAACAGAGTGCTGTGTACATAATAAATTTAAAAAATAAAATACAAATGAGGCATTGAGAGGCGGGCAGATCTCTGAGTTAGACAGGCCAGGCCGGTTCACACAGTGGGGCTATCTAAAAAACAAAAACAAAACAAAAAAATTTTGCACAGTCACTACCTGAGCTCACATAACGGATGGAAATTTTGTTATCTAACTTTGCAGAGCGCCCAAAGCAGGCAGGCAAAAACTGGTTGCCACAGGTGCCTGGAAGGGTGAAAGGGTTCCTCAGAATGAGTGACAAGCCCTGAGTAGGAGGAACTGGGTAGGGGTTACAGGCTGGGGTCATTGAGCGTGCATCCAGCAGACAATACGGTGGGCGTGACAATGACACTCACTTCCCGGTGCAGGTCCCCTCCACCTCGGTGAAGAGTTTCTGCTTCACCGTGTTGAGTAAGTTGGGACCGAAGTAGCGTGGGTGCAGCAGGATCTCGTGCTCCAGGGAAATCTGTAGAGAAAGGGGAATGTAGACTCGGTCTGCAGCATTGAGAACAAAGGGCGACTGGCCGTCCCTTCCCGGTCCCCAGGCTCCTCCTGCCCCTGCCCTCGCCGCCACTCGGAGTCCAGCTCACGTGATAAAACATCTTCGGAAGAAATTAGGACAGCAGACTCACGAACACCGCACTGGCAACCACACCGGAAGCACTTCCAGATGTCCCACCCCTGCTTCCAATTCGCTTCCGAGGATCTGACCGAGCCTTAAAGTCGTGGGCGGGGACTCATGAAGCCCCGCCCCTGAAGCCTGTCGGTCAACTCTCAGACTTCTTATCTACATAAAGCAAGTTCTAGGACAGGTAGAACTACACGGAGAAACCCTTTGTCGAAAAACAAAATAATAACAAAAAAACAACAAAAGTTCATTTTTAAAGGAAGGTGAAACAAAGTACCTTAAAAAACAAAAGTTACCGGGAAGGTGGTGGTGCCCACCTTTAATCCCAGCACTCAGGAAGCAGAGGCAGGCAGATCTTTGTGAGTTCGAGACCAGCCTGGTCTACAAGAGCCAGTTCCAGGGCAGCCTCCAAAGCCACAGAGAAACCCTGTCTCGAAAAACAAAAAAGTAAAATCAAATTATTTATTTACTTAGTCATTATATTGTGTTTTAAAAACAGGAGTTTCTCTGTGGAACAGCTCTGGCTATGCTGGTACCTGCTTTGTAGAACAGACTGGCCTGGAACTCACAGAGATCGACATGACTCTGTCTCCTAAGTACTGGGATTAAAGTGTGCCAACTCCCTGGTTTTAAATTTTAATTTTGCAGGTCTGGGAAATGTCTCTGAGAGTAAACATCTTGTCCAGAGTGCCAAACTGAGTTCAATCCGAGACCTACTTGGGGGAGGAGGCAAACGATTCCCACACGCCCTCTCTGACTTTCCCGGGCACACCTCCTTCCCCACCAAAAATAAATTAATAAAATGTAATTTAAAAGTAAATTGACGGGAGCTGGCTCAGAGGTTAAGAGCACTGGCTACTCTTCCAAAGGTCCTGAGTTCAATTCGCAGCAACCACATGTTCACAACCATTTATAATGAAATCTGGTGCCCTCTTCTGGTGTGCAAGCATACGTGTAGGCAGAGCATTGTATACATAATAAATAAATCTTAAAAAAAAAAAAAGTAAATTGACTTTGCAGGACTGGAGAGATGGCTCAGTGAAAAAAAACATCTGTTGCCCTAGGATGTGATGGAACTTGTCTTTGGTCCCAGCACTGAGGAGTCAGAGGCAGGCAGAACTATGTGAGTTCAAAGCCATCCTAGTCTACAAAGTGAGTTCCAGGGCAGCCAAAGAAACCCTGTCTTGAAAAACAAGAACAGGCCTGGAGAGATTGTTGAGAGGCTAAGAATGCTGGCTGTTCTTCTAGAGGTCCTAAGTTCAATTCCTAGCAACCACATGATGGATCACAACCATTTGTAATGAGATCTGTTGCCCTCTTTTGGCTTTTAGGGATACATGCAGGCAGAACAATGTATACATAATAAATCGGAAAAACAAACACAAAAGAACATTTGGGGCTGGAAAGAAGGCTCAGTGGCTAAGAGCACTGCCTGCTCTTCCAAAGGTCCCTGAGTTCAATTCCTAGCAACCACATGTTGGTTCACAAACATCTGTAATGAGATCTGGTGCCCTCTTCTGGCCTACAGACATACATGTAGGCAGAACACTGTATACATCATAAATATATAAATCTTAAAAGAAAAGAAAAGAAAAAGAACATTTTTTTTCTCTTAATGAGGACCCAGGTTTGATTCCCAGGTCATAGACATTTGTAACTTCAATTCCAACAAATCAGATGGTCTCTTCTGACTTTCTTGGGCACCAGGTACCTATGTGCTCTGTGTGTGTGTGTGTGTGTGTAATTTATGCACACATTAAAAGAAATCTTTTTTTTTTGGTTTTTCAAGATAGGGTATATTTAAAGAAATCTTAGACTTTTTATTTTAGGGACTGAAGAAATGCCTCAGTAGTTAAGAACACAGAGGTCCAGGGTTCAATTCCTAGCACCCACATGGTGGCTCACAACCTTCTGTAACTCTAATTCTTCAGTACTGCTTGCAATTGGTGAAGAGATACATGCAGGCAGGACACACATACACATAAAATAAAAATAAAGGTAGGCAGCTGGAGAGATTGCTCAGCAGTTAAGAGAATTGGTTATTCCTTCAAAGGATCCAGGTTTGATTCCAAGAACAAACATGGTGGCTCAACCCCTTATAACTTCAGTCCTGGAGTATCCAATGCCTTCTCTGCCCTTAATGGACACTGATCCCTGTGGTGTACAGACACACTTGCGGGCAGAACACCCATACATATAAAATAAAAATAAAGGTTAAAAGCCAGGTGGTGGTGGTGGTGGAAGCCTTTAATCCCAGAACCAGCAAACTCATCTCTGAGCTCAAAACCAGCCTGTTTACAGAATGAGAAAGTGAGTTCCAGGACAGCCAGGACTACATAAAGAAGGTTAAAAACTTTTTTTTTTTGTTTTGTTTTTTGAGACAAGGTTTCTCTGTGGTTTTGGAGGCTGTCCTGGAACTCGCTCTGTAGACCAGGCTGGCCTCGAACTCACAGAGATCCGCCTGCCTCTGCCTCCCGAGTGCTGGGGTCAAAGGCGTGCGCCACCAACGCCCGGCTGGTTAAAAACTTTTTTAAAGGTTAAAAAATTTTAAGACAAAGAATGTAGTTGGTTGTTTTTTATTCTTTGGCTCTTTTCTGTTTCTTCTTTTGGGAGCTCCACCACCTAGGTCCCAGATAAATCACATACTGAGTCTTATTCTGTTTTACAAATGCTTGGCTTTAGCTTGGGTGTTTCTAGGCAGCTTCTGTCAACTAACGTTACCAGTCTACCTTTTGCTTCTCAGCCTTTCCATTGTCCTGCTCCTGTCTCTCTTCCCTTACTCTGTGGCTGTCCTTGAAGTCCTCCTCTCCTTGTTCTAGCTTGCTCATTTTTTTTTTTTTTTTGGTTTTTCGAGACAGGGTTTCCCTGTGGCTTTGGAGGCTGTCCTGGAACTCGCTCGGTAGACCAGGTTGGCCTCGAACTCACAGAGATCCGCCTGCCTCTGCCTCCCGAGTGCTGGGATTAAAGGCATGCGCCACCAACGCCCGGCTAGCTTGCTCATTTTTTGTCCTAGATTTCTCCTATTTATTCTCTCTGCCTGCCAGCCCTGCCTATTCTTTCTCCTGCTTTGCTATTGGATGTTCAACTCTTTATTAGACCATCAGGTGTTTTAGACAGGCAAAGAATCACAGCGTCACAGTTAAATAAATGCAGCATAAACAAAAGCAACACATCTTTACATCGTTAAACAAATGTTCCAGAGCATAAACAAGTGTAAGACATCTTAAAATAATATTCTACAACATCAGAATCAATACTGGGTGGTGATAAACGCCTGGTGAAGACTTTCCAGTTCAGCCCCACATTCCTGTAAATAGCCCCATCCATGCTCTGTAAGCAGCTCACTGGCTTTTCAGGATGTACTTCTGTTTTTCTCATGCGGTTGTATAAAGGAGTATAGGAGGCCAATCCACTGTGGTGGTGCATTCTTATAATCCCAGCATATGGGAGGCAGAGGCAGGCAGATCTTGTGAATTTCAAGGCCAGCCTGGTCTACAGAGTGAATTCTAGGTCAGCCAAGACTACACAGAGAAACCCTGTCTTGAAAAACCAAAATAAATAAATAAAAGATGTTGTGAGTACAGCAACTGTAGCACAGTGACTGTTGTAAAACATTTTTGGGGAGACCTAAACAAACACCTACTTTCCACCAGATAAGGAATCACACACAAATCAAGTAAGGCTACCACCAAATTCCAACTAGGTAAAGAATCACATCTTATGTGGGCTATTTACAAAAGCAGAAATGACTCATAGCTGTATCACCAAAAGCCAGGTCATGGGCAATAGTTTCCAAAGCTGAAAACCTGGAGCCCGTCAAACAACCTATAGGCAGCTAGACAGATTGGGGAGTATCTATTCCCAGGAGCTTGGTTGGTCTGAGACTCTTCCAAGCATTTCTGCCGGCCACTTCTGGGCATCTCAACTCATCTGGGAGTGTGCATCAGCAGTCCTTACTACTTTACTTACATAAGGTTGAGAAAGGAGAGGGAAAATACATTTAAACAGTTTCAGGGACTCCCCGATGCTTTTAAGCTGTTTCTTCCTAGTTTTAGAAGCTTACCTGCAGGATGGAATGCTTTGTTTCCCGTTAGCTGACAGTGGTTCTCCACCTCCCTAATGCTTTGACCCTTTACGTTCCTCATGTCTGATTTTCTTTTTTAAGACAGGGCTTCTCCGTAGCTTCAGAGCCTGTCCCGGAACTTGCTCAGTAGACCAAGCTGGCCTCGAACTCACAGAGATCCACCTGCCTCTGCCTCCCCAGTGCTGAGATTAAAGGCGTGCGCCACCACCCGCACATGTTCCTCATGTTACAGTGACCCTCAACCATAAAAGTATTTTTCTTGCAACTTCATAACTGTACTTTTCCTACTGTTATGAATCATAATGAAAATATCTGATACACAAGATATGTTATGTGACCCCCTATGAAAGAATCATTTGGTCTCCACAGGGCTTTCCACCCACAGGTTGAGAAGCCCTGCTTTAGCACATCCTAAGTCTCGATGACTCTCCAAGACAGACTGTTTTATTATCTAGGAGGAAACTTCTGCACAACAGTTGTAGAGGGCATGTTTTGTCTGAGCAAGGCAAATAGGACCCTGTGTTCAATTCCAAGTAAGAGAGAAAGCAAAAGTGAGAGAGATTAAGATTACTCTCCGGGCCGGGCGGTGGTGGCGCATGCCTTTAATCCCAGCACTCGGGAAGCAGAAACAGATCTCTGATTTCAAGGCCATCTGGGTCTATAGCAAGAATTCTGGAACAGTAGGCAAGCCCTGGGCTTACTGTTATTCTTTTGGGAGAACAGGGTCATATTATGTAACCTGGGAGTTGCTTTATAGACTAGGCTTGCCCTGAGCTTTTGACAATTCTCCTGGCTTTGCTTCTGAAGTCCTGGGACTACATGTCACAAAGTGATACTTGGTGTTGAGTGGCAGTGTACTCCCGAAGACCTTGTGTAACTCGCATTTGGCAGGGCAGACAAGAGACAGGTATCACCTACTCTCTACAGCCCTTTCCTCTGAGAATCTAAGGACTCTCAAAAATCTATTCAAGGAGGCTGGAGAGATGGCTCAGAGGTTAAGAGCACTGACAGCTCTTCCAGAGGTCCCTAGTTCAA